TCCATCTGCGACTGTCTGTCGCCGACTGGGTGTCCTGATTGTCCAGCCTGCGTCTGCCCAGAGCCCCGGTCGCCCCCGCAGCCCGCGCGCGGGTTGCCCGCAGACTTCTTCAACAAGTCCTACGTGTTTGTCAACGCTGACGCGACCGACACGGACTGGCTCTTCGGGCTCATCGGAGCCTGCGCAGGCGGCGCATCGGGCGCGGTGTCCACGCGCAGTTTCTGCCCCAAGCGCGTCGGAGGGTTTGGATTCAAGGGCCGCGGGGGCCTCGAGCAGCGATGGCGACGGATGCTGAAGAGATCCCAGGAGCCCATGTCATGGAGTGGTACGAGGGCGACGATCACGGTCATGAGCGTCTGTTGCCTCGCGAGGTTCAATCCGACAATGACAAGCGGGCGTGGGAGAAGGTTACTCCAAATGTTGATGTCTACGCTAAAGAGCACAATACCTCGGAAGGCAAGGGGGTGCTTAGTTTCGCGTTGTTGCATAAACGGCGGACGGGCCGAGACACGCCCCGTCCGCTGCACAGTTTTCAGGAGACTGCGTCTTCGGAGCTGTTCGAGGAGTTGCGCCAGGAGGCGAAGGACTACTTCATGGAGGAGGGCCTCGTGGAGATTGCGCACCCCAGAGTGCACGGGGAGGTCTTCGCCGCGCGTCGGCTACGCTTTCTTTTTTCGCGGAGGCCCTGTCGGAGGAGGAGCGGCCCCAACTGCTGGGGGGGCCAACGGTCAGGGCCGCAGGAAAAGAATGTGGGTCGATTCGGTCAAGGAGCTGGTCGAGGACAGCTTCACGGACTGGCCCTGCGACGGGCCCCGCACGACGTCGCGGTTAATGCCATCGCTTTCTCGTTTGGCGACGGCCCCGACCCAGTGGCTCGGGGGCCGCCTTCAAGCAGCCAGTTGGAGTGAGAACGACCGATCCATTCACGAGATGCGAGTGATGGCAGAGGTTTTCGAGCTCGCCATCCAGTATGATCAGGTCGACGTGGCGACGCTGACACCTTTCGAGCGCCTGGGGAGGCGCTCGCAGAGCTTTTTGGAGGCGCACTCGAAGAATCCTACGAGGCCGAACTATGAGATTGCTGAAAAGTTATTGGGCTGCAGTCGCCGTCCCCATACGGTTCCTTCTTCTCTGCGTTCCTTCGCGGCCGAGGAGGCCCGCGGGAAGGCTGAGGTTGACAAGCAGACCAGCACCGCCAAGGCGCTGAAGGTTGAGGCCAAGCTTCCCCTGAAGCACAAGCAGGGGAACAAGGATAAGGACAAGGACAAGGACGGCGAGTGATGCCGCCTGTTCTCGCCCGCTCGGCAGATAGCGCCTGCGTCAGTCGCCGAGGCGCGGGCCATAACACAGGCGAGAGCGATGCGGGAGAGACTTTGCGCAGAGGGCTGGAGTGTCATGGCAAGGTCCCTCTCTTTCCGCTCGGTTTTTGCCAGGAGCATGCCCCCGCGCCTTCGGGGCTTTCTCGGAGGTGTCGTCGGCGGACAAACCTTCGGTGTCATCGATCTAGAGAGGCTGGCGAGGTCAACCAAGGGCTTAACTGGCGTTCTATGATCGTGCTCAGAGCCCCCTCGTCGACCCCCTGGCCGTCGGCGAGGCGCATGATTGCGTTGCGGACCGAGTTGCGAGCCAGCCACCTGTTCCAGTTTTTCTGAACAAGGAGGGAGCCGTGCGCGAGCTCCTCCAGGGCAAGTGCGGCTATGATCACGCTGCTTCCACAGTCGTCGAGTTCAATCGCCACCTCGTCTCGCTGCCTGAGGGGGTCCAGGACCGAAATTTACTTCAGTATATTGTCGCCCAGGAGGACAGGGAGCCGGTGGATAACTTCACAGAGAGCATGATGAGAGATGTGAAAGAAGTAATGCAGATGAGAGGGTTCGGCGAGAATATCAACCCGTACTTAAACCAGAGACTGCGTACTTGTCGTCACGAGTTCGTGCGGTTTCTGAAGGTGTTGCACAGCCGCGGCTTGGTGCGATGGTGCACTTCGCCCAAGGAGCTCGCCACCCCATTCTTCGTGAGAAAAAAGGAGGGAAGACAGCGCCTCATCATCGATGCCAGGCGCGCCAATCAGCTGTTCAGGGACCCCCCGAGCACCCTACTCGCCACCCCCGACAGCTTCGCACGTCTAGAGGTGGAGGAGGGGGTGGACATGTTCGAGGCCTCGCTCGATGTCGACAATTGTTTCCACAGGATCGGGATCAACAAAAGTTAGGTGAGCACTTCTGTCTCCCACCCGTTCGAGCCCAGGAACTAGGCCTTTCCAATGTTCAGGGTCGTGAAGTTTCTGGAGATAGTCTTGCGTGGGCCTCGATGGCCGCCCCCCCCGATGGGTTTCTCCTGGTTGATCTTCTGGGCTCAGCGCATTAATCGAGGATGGAGGGGGCGGGCTCTTCATAGGTAGGCACAGCGCCCCCGTCTTCTACGTTGACGTGGACAACGTGGGGGTCTTGGGGTGCGACAGAGATCGGGTCCAGAAGTCCCTAGATGACATCCGCGGGATCTTGAATGCTAAAAATATGAAGTGCCATGAGGTTCAGGAGGCGAGGCAGGTGCGGGAGGCTCTGAGCATAGAGTTCATCGGTGTCTTGGGGTGTTTCAGGCCGACGGCAAAGCACTACTGGAAGGTTCGTTGGTGTCTGGATAATTCCCTACCTAGGCTCTGCCTAGAAGGGTTCTTACTCTGTTAGCTAAAGGGGCCGGGCAATGCTAATCGCCCCGGGCGGTTCCCCCAGTCCCCGCCCCGCGGTTCCCCCAGTTACCTGGGAGCTTTAGCCTTAGCTTTAGCTTTAGCTTAGCTGTAGCTTTAGCTTTAGCTCTAGCTTTAGCTTAGCTTTAGCTTAGTGTTAGCTTAGCTTCAACGTAGTGTTAGCTTAGCTTTAGCTTAGCTTTACCTTAGCTTCAGCTTAGTGTTAGCTTAGCTTTAGCTTAGTGATAGCTTAGCTTTAGCTTAGCTTGAGCTCAGCTTTAGCTTAGCTTTAGCTTAGCTTTAGCTTAGCTTCAGCTTAGCTTAGCTTAGCTTTAGCTTAGCTGTACCTCAGCTTTCCCTTAGTTTCAGCTTAGCTATAGTATAGCTTTACCTTAGCTCTAGCTTAGCTGTAGCTTAGTTTCAGCTTAGCTTTAGCTCAGCTTCAGCTTAACTTTAGCTTAGCTTTAGCTTAGCTCTAGCTTAGCTTAAGCTTAGCTTCAGTTTAAGCTTTAGCTTTAGCTTTAGCTTAGCTTTAGCTTAGCTTTGGCTTAGCTTTAGCTTAGCTTTAGCTTGGTTTTAGCTTAGCGTTAGCTTTGGCTTCAGCTTAGCTTTAGCTTAGTGTTAGCTTAGCCTTAGCTTAGCTTTAGCTTAGCTCTAGCTTAGTGTTAGCTTAGCTTGAGCTTAGCTTTAGCTTAGCTTCAGCTTAGTGTTAGCTTAGCTCTAGCTTAGCTTTAGCTTATCGGTCAGCTTAGTGTTAGCCTAGCTTTAGCTTAGTGTTAGCTTAGCTTTAACTTAGCTTTAGCTTAGCTTCAGCTTAGTGTTAGCTTAGCGCTAGTTTAGCTGTAGCTCAGCTTTAGCTTAGCTTTAGCTTAGTGTTAGCTTAGCTTTAGCTTGGCTTTCGCTCATCGATCAGCTTAGTACGAGCTTAGCTTTAGCTTAGTGTTCGTTTAGCTTTAGCTTAGCTTTAGCTTAGCTTCAGCTTGGTTTTAGCTTTGTCCTAGCTTCAGCTTAGCTTTTAGCTTAGCTTCAGCTTAGTTTTAGCCTTAGCCTTAGCTTAGCTTCAGCTTAGCTTTCGTTTAGCTTCAGCTTAGCTTTAGCTTAGTTCTAGCTTAGTTTTAGCTTAGCTCTAGCTTAGATTGAGCTTAGCTTTAGCTTTAGTTTTAGCTTTAGCTTAGCTTTAGCTTAGCTTCAGCTTAGCTTCAGCTTAGCTTCAACTTAGTGTTAGCTTAGCCTTAGCTTAGCCTTAGCTTAGCTTTAGCTTAGCGTCAGCTTAGCTTTAGTTTAGCTTTAGCTTTAGCTTGGCTTCAGCTTAGCTTTAGCTTAGCTTTAGCTTAGCTTTAGCTTAGCTTTAGCTTAGCTTTACTGTTACTACTAACGCTGCTTTCCTAGGGGCTCCAACTCCTAGGTAGGGTCGCACTGGGATAATTGTTTGAAGTGTCACAAGGTCTCTGGGAAGGGTCTCGAGGTACCCTTGGGCCACTGCATGTACCTGACGATGTTGCAGCGGCCCCTGTTGTCGCGCTTCACCTCTGTATAGAAGTTCGCCCGACAGCACAGACACTCATGGGCGCCTCCATGGGATTCAGCTCGTGCCGAGTTGCGCGCCTTCCTTCATCCCACGCCGTCGATCCGCGCAGATCGGAGCCGCAGTTGGATGGGCCAGGTCGTCGCCTATGATTATTGTCCCGAGGGTGCTGGAGCGCACGTTGCGCGACGAGATTCCGACTGGACTGCTACCCAGGGCAGAGCGCAGGAGAGGGCCCGCTTTGTTCGGCGAGATGCCGCCCAAGCAAGAGGGCACGCATTGTCTCGCCTGCATCCCGACGATCCTTTGGCGTTCGTTACGCCGCCGCCAGAGTTGGAGGAGGTTTCCGAGGTTTGGGAGCAGGACTTGTCTTTCCCTGAGGCGCCGTTCGAGAGCTTGGTCGGGAAGGATTGGAAGGCGTCGCATTGCCACAGGTGGAGGAGGAAGAGGACTGTTCACGAAGGGGAGGCTAGAGCTGGGGTCCTCGGGGTCGTCAACTGCGTCTTCGTGCCCAACGTGTTTGGTCGTCGGCTCCTCGTGCTTGGGGACAACTTGGGGGTGGCGCTCAGCCTTGCCAGGTCCAGGTCCCGGGCGCTTCCGCTGCTGGTCCAGCTTCGACGCATGGCGGCCGTCTCGCTTTCCAGAAACATGTTTTGGGGTTTCCGATGGTTCCCCAGTGAGTTCAACATTGCTGATGACCCCTCCCGCCGTCCTGAATTGCGAAGAAGGGATTTGCTAGGACTCAACGTCACCCCCGAGATTATCCAGCTGGCGCGCGACAACTCCTTAGTCGTTTCGGCCACCCCTGAAGTTGGACTACGTTCTAATCCCATATTTTATTGGGCTCGCGATGTCCTTGGTTCGGGAGTCGAGGACAGCGACGGAGGCAGAGGAGAAGGAGTTTCGAGTTCTCCTCCGACAAGCGGATCTTCAGACTCTGGACCAGAGGTGGAAGGCGGACGTCCAGAAGAGGCGCTCGCCGACATCTTTGCCAACCCAGCTCGAGCGCGCGCGGCAGGATGCCGAGCGCGTCGATTCGGACGGCACGACTTCGGACGAGGATGGCAACTTGCTGACGGAAGACAGGGTTCTCAGGCACAGGAGGCACCTTGCGAAGATGGATGAGGAGCCAGGTATGCAGCACGCTCCGGCTTTCGAAAGAAGCTCGACAGGCGAACGCACTTGGAGTCAGCATCGGAGGCGGTATCGCGGTCTTGTCGGCCACGTAGAAGAGCAGAAGCGCAAGACGGACAGATGGCGCGCCGACGTAGCCATCGTCGTGTTCATGACCCACTTGTACCTGGTGGGATACGACGCGTGCCTCGGCCAGAAGCTGATCGCGTTGACGGTTTCCTTCCTCCCGAGGCTCGGCACGGGCGACCTGTCGCTGCCGAGAGCCGAGCTGGCCCCGCCCCTCAGCCGCCAGCCCCTCACATGGCCTACAGCGACGGCGCTCGCAGCCCAGCTGAGTGGAGGGGGCCACCTCGACGTGGGCTTCGGGGTGATCATCTCGTTCGGCACCTATCTACGTCCTGGCCCAATGATGCAGCTCACGCAGGGTTCGCTGATAGCTCCCACGATGCACATCGCTACCCGTTGGCGAGTTTTGGCACACCGTGTGGTCCCCCGCCTGGTCTCGAACGTGGGCACTCAAGACGACACAATTCCTTGGGTTGTCCAGAATCTCGAATGGCTGCAGGAGGCGTTTCGGGTGCTTGCAGTGGGGAAGAAGAATGGACGTCTGTGGGTTTTCACGTATCCTGAGTTGGTGCGAGAGATAAATAAGGCGGGCCTTATGTTGCCAGCTTCGTCATGCTGGCGCGCCGGGGGGACATCTACAAGAAACAAAGGAGTCTGTTCGAAGTCCAGTCAACGACAAAAATTGGGCAACGTTATGAGAAGTCGGGCATGATGATCACGACTACGCCCTGCTCCCCATCGCGCTGCAAACGTACATGGAGGATATGAACTCCGACTTGAAGGACGTGCTCCTGCAAGGCCGCGCCGTTCCCCTCCCGCCGCCACTGCCTCTTACTGAGCGAGGCAAATGTTTCCCCGATCCTACAGGTTCGTTTTCGTAGAGAACACAATGATATGGGTGTGATATGGGTGAGGTTCGCCGTGAGCCTTGCCCCGCAGTGTTGTGCGTCGAGACTTTCAGGACGGCGATGGCATCAGAGTCTACGGAACTGACAGAGAGCACGCGGGGGGGATCATGTGAGTTGTACGTGAATGATCTGAGCGTGCTCGTGTATTTCAGTCGGGCGCTGAGGGGTCTTCGAAGGAGGGTCCCGATCTTTTGCGCCCGTAAGGAGTTGTTCGGCTCCCTGTGGCCTGCCCGCTGCCAGTTTTCATTCTTCTACAGTGGGCGAGGTTCGCCGTGAGCCTTGCCCCGCAGTGTTGTGCGTCGACAGTCTCAGGACGGCGATGGCATCAGAGTCTACGGAACTGAAAGAGAGCACGCGGGGGGGATCATGATCATCATCCGCAGCAGCATAATCATTATCGTTGTCGTCATCATCGCCATCACCACCATCAGCAGCAGCAGTATCATCATCGTCATCATCATCTGTATCATCATCTTCATCACCACTGTCGTCATCATCATCAGCATCATCATCACTACCACTGGCCGTGTCGAGATCGGCCTCTTCCATGTCGGTATCATCGTCATGAACTGAGTGCCGCGGCCGGTGGCCTGGGGAGGAGCGACTTGCGCGCCCTTTAGCTCCGTGAACTCCTCCCCACGCATCCTCCTCCTCCTCGTCCTCGTCCTCTCCTCCTCATCATCACCACCAGCATCATCATCATCGTCATCAGCAGCATCATCATAATCAGCATCATCATTGTCATCAGCAGCAACATCATCAGCAACAGCATCATCAGCATCAGCATCATCAACATCATCATCAGCATCATCAGCACCAGCATCATCAGCACCATCAGCAACGCCGTCGTCATCCTCTATACCATATACCAGCATCATCAACATCACCACCATCATCATCATTATCATCGTCGTGCCTCGCCCCCTTCCTCCCTCACTTCGTTCTTCCCTCCTGCTCAACTTACTCCCCATTATCTCTCCTTCTCCCCCGAAGCCCGCGACTGGGGCTGAGGCTGTCCTTCACGTCGTTGTGCGACTCGGAGTGGCGCGTGTCGAGCCAAGGCTCGCCCCGCCGCCACCGCCAGGTCGGGGGGGGGGGCGTCAGGGGGGGCACTGGGGAGCGGGGAGAAGGGAGGGAGGGAGGGAGGGCAGGGAAGGAGAGAGGGATGCAAGAGGCGGGGGAGAAGAAGGAGATGAAGAAGGAGATGAAGAAGAGGAAGAGGAAGAAGAAGAAGAAGAAGAGGCACGGGAGGTCTTTGGTTCCTCCCCCCTCCCATCACCTCCAAGGGTGGCGGGGGGGAGGAGGGAGTTTAACAATCATGCTGGGGCCGTGCCGAGGTTGTGAGCTGCTCGGCAGGGCACACGGAGCCGAGCCCCGCGCGCCTCTGGGCAGGCCGCCCCGCGGCACGCCCCACGCCCGTCGAGGCGACTCCTCAGACCCAGCCTCACCCACCGGGCGCAGCTGCAGGCCGTCTGAGCTCGAGGAGGAGCCGGGTGGACGGCCGTGCGGCCTGTTCTCTTCGGCTCGCTTTGCGTCTTCCTCTTGCCGACCGCCCTGGCACCGCCCTGGTAACGTTGGGCGCTGCCGCGGCTGGCCTCTGGCCTGGCTTGCTCCTCGCGTGCCTGCTGGCCTGGACTGATCTCGGGGTTCTGCTCCTTGGCCTCGCCCCCTGGCGGGTGGCCACGTTCTGGTCGGTCGCCGATGCCGTGGGTCTGCAGGTCCTCGCCGTCTCCTGGGGCCCAGGAAGTTCTCTGCCTTCTGACGCTGGCGTTGGACTTCCTCCGCTCCTCTGCTCATCAGTGCCTACCTGTCACGGCGGCTGTTGAGCCAGGCGAGGCGGCATATCTCCTCTATTGCGCGCTTTGAGGACGTAGGGCACACAGGTGGCTTGCCAGCTGTGCCAGCAGGCTTCGCCGCTCGCATCCACCCACCATCCTCCCAGGGTGTGGATGTGTTTTTTCCATTTGTTGCCTCGCCAGCCAGGCCTCCTCTACCCCCAGGCCCCGGTTATCATCACCCCTGTTCTGGTTTGGTAGCGGTCGAAACACCCGTTCTTGTTTGGTTCCACGCACGTACTTCATGAGGCCTGGATGCTCACGTCCTGGAGGCTGCCTTGGGGCCCTGGCTCTCACCGTCTTCTGGAGGAGGTTCGTTTCATCTGCGGGTCCACCTCGTCGTTATTTTCCTCGTTGTCCTTCACCTGCTCCTGGCGGTTCATCGTTGCCGTCGTCGGTCTCGATGTCGGAGTTTATGGAAGTGTGGTTCTCGGGAGTCCAGGTGTGAGCTTCCTCCGCAGTGATTTGAAGGGACATCCTCGTGCTGCAAATGTGTATGTTCATCCGGATGCTGTGTCTCCGCCGCTGAAAGGCCAGGATGTGCCCCGCCGTTGCTTGCTGCCAGATGGTGTGCGGAAGCTTCTGCATGCTAGTCATCAACCTTCGCCTGATTCTTTTTGTGCACGAGGGTAGCTGAAGGGTCTTAAGGTCACAGGTACTCATGTTGCCAACGGGCCAAGAATTAAGAATCGCTGGCCGTGTCATGGGCATTTCAGGGAGGTGGGTCCCTGTGGCGAGCGACGCCCAGGAATCAGGAGTCGCCATCCCCGCGCTAGGGCCACGGGGAGGGTGGGCACCCGTGGCGAACGCGGCACCCAGGAAGCAAAGGTCGCCATCTCCGCGCTGGGGCCACGTGGGAGGGTGGGTCCCCCTGGCGAGCGGCTCCCAGGAATCATGCGCTGAGCCAAGAATTCGAATCGGCTCCCTGTATCAAATGATACCGGAGAAATACCCAATCCGATTTTTCGGGGCTTCAGGGCTATACGGCTATACGGCTATACGGCTATCGGGCTATTGGGCTATAGGGCTATACGGCTATACGGCTATACGGTTATAGGGCTATAGGGCTACAGGGCTAGAAGGTTATAGGGCCATAAGGATATAAGGCTACAGCTATATGGGGTATAGGGCTATTAGGGCTGTAGGGTTCTAGGGTTATAGGGCTTAAGGCTGAAAGGCTATAAGGCTACAGGGCTATAAGGCTATAGGGGCACCCCTGGGCACCCGGGCACCCGAGCACCTGGGCACCCGGTCCGGCCACCGAAATCGGCGAGGCACTTCACCTAACCATATGAATCCGATCGGACCCCTTCAGAGGCAAACTCTGATTGGGGAATCTCTTATTAAATTGCACACGACACCTCAATTGAAGGAGGGCCTCCACGGGCGCAGGCCACGAAGAAGAATGTATGACCTTAGACTAGCCAAGCGATCCTCTTCTTTATGCCCCCCCACACGTCCTCACAGAAGTCCTTTAGCCGTTGATGATGCTCTTGGCCTGCCACCTCCTGACTCATCTGGCTCCTGGAGTCCCTGGTGATCTCCCTCACGTATGGGATGCACCACTGCAGCCCGTCTTGGTAGCCGTCCCAGATGCGGTTGTCGACCATGTTCGTCCATTGCTCCGTGTTGCCTTCCAGGTGGTCAACTCGCCTGGAATTGACATCGCTGGCTTACTGCGGTTTGCGGTGCCTCCTTGACGCTCTGCGCTGGCTTGGTTGGAGGCTGCCCTTCTTCAGGATCAGTGGCTGCTACTGGGTCCGAGCCAGTGGATGTTCTTTCTGATTATTATGATTATTGTGGCTGGGTGCCTGCGGCACGGATACACGCCTTGCTCCTTGGAGTTCTTCCGCTGCGCATGCGGTTGGTGGCCCACTGGCCTCCATTCGTGGGCGGTTGGCATGGCGTGCAGAGCTTCATCGCCACTCCTGCCACGATTCGGCCGTGGTGGTTCTGCAGGTTGCTGGTGCCTCCACATCGTTCGCACCAGATGCATCCTTCTTGGTACTGCGTCTTGTGGGTCTCGTGGATAGGCCGCTAACCTATCTTGATGGCGGCGTGGCTGGGCCTCATGCTGCCTTGTTCGGCCCTGGTGAGGCTCAGGGCTCCTGGACACTCTTGCATCCTCCAGCCATCGCATAGCAGGTTGTCCTGGTTCTGGTCCCGATCTGCAACTTGCGCATCACCATTTCTGACACTTTCGCCTGAAGCGTATGCCCTTGCGCTGGAGCTGCCTACTTGACTGTGGTGCGCTTCTCTTGCTCGGGGCCTTGGTCCGCTGGCATTCCATGTAGGGGCCCACGGCCACCATCTCCATGCTGATGTTGAGCAGGCGGGTGTGCACTGCCATGATAATAGAATCGGGGATGTGTTGCTTCGCGATGGTTGGTTGGTCGAGGGCTCTTTGCTCCGCTCCGCATGTTGCGTATCGGTCATCAAGCCCGTTTCCAACTAACCACCAGGCCCGCCCCATTTATCCAGCTCCAATGGGTGCTCCAGCGGGTGGCTGAGGATGTGGTGCCCTATCGTGCGGCACTGGTTACGCTGCAGTGGCAGCCTACCTGTGTGCCAGAGATCGTATTTGGAGCTGCGGTAGCCTTGGTCCTCTGGGTCTTGCAGCTGCGTCAGTGCTTTCAGAGCGTATTTGCAGTCACGGATGACTTTGAGGACACCTCTTGGCGTCGGTTTGATGCACTTGGTCGTTTTGCCCATGGCCGTCAACTCTGTCCCGGGGACTATACCCGGCGCCCTGATGGCACCGCACCATCTAGCCACTCCATATGACATCCCTTCTGCATCTGCGCACATGGCAGCCACAGCCCTCCCAGATCTTCTCGGTCTCGGTTCTGCGGCCGTGGCCCCTGCTCTTCCCAAGCCGTCCGCGAAGGCACAGCCGACGTGAACGTTGCCGCCCTGCTGCACTGCCACCTAGGCGGCGGCGCTCGCGCGAAATATCTGCACTGCGTTCTGCTCGTGTAGCTTCGCGGTCCACTTGCTGCGCCCACTCGCTCGGAGGGATGTCTCTCAGCCAGAAAAGCTGGTTGTTCTGCTGCGCCAGCGGCCCCTTTGCCTTCTTCGTGATGATGTCGCTGCTGCTGCACCCGATCTCCTCGTTTGCTGGTTGTCGGTAGTAGCGGTGCGTTTCTGTTTCTGGTGCCTGTCCACACTTGGCGCATAGTGCTTCCCCACCTCCTGCCAGTAGAGCTAAACGCATCCTTGCCCTTGCCCATATGCCTTCTACCTATACGACCACCCTTCGGGCGATAAGGAGGCTGGGGGGGAAGAACCAACTGCCGGCAAATGCGACGGGCGCGACGATGGCGATGATGGTGGTGCGCCCTCGAGTTAGCGACGAAGCGCGATGACGATTCTGCATTGCGATGCAATGTAACGATCGTCCCCGCTTTCGATCTCGCTCGATCGATCCCACAGTCGGCCTCACGGCCAGTCTTACTACCGATGGATTCAGCGAACGCTCCCATTAGCGATCCCACACAGAAGTGCGCTGAGTACGATGAGGACACCACCCCGACAACATCGAGCCGGATCAATGCCACCGCCATTGCGTTGTGATGGGTTTTTGCTGATTGTGGTGGTTGATTGTTGATGGCGATGCGATGGTTTTCTCTGCACTCGTGCCATCGACTCCAAATGCACTGCGCGCCCGTTGCCAGAGCGCTCCCTGGCTCAACTAAGCGTTTCTAGTTGCGCGCTAGTAGCCAGATCCATTTCACCATCGGCACCAAGGCGGGACACCCGCGGCCACCGCCCGCCCACCGCCGACGGAACACCGACGGGACACCAACGAAACCCCAATGAGATACCACAGGACACCACGGCGGGACATCGCGGGACACCGCGCGCCCATTGGGGGCGGAAAGGCGGCCCACTGCATCCGAACCGCCGTAGCGACGGCGGGGCCATTCTTCTCGCGCGCCCACGCAGCTTCGCCTCGCCCACACGCACGAGACGAACACGAAACCGAAACCGATGTCACGGCGGGGGTCTCTCCGTCCCATTGCGATCTCACCCTCGTCTTCCGATCGCGATGGCCCCCAGCTTGGCCGCCTCCGCGCACTGGCCTTTGTTCCTTCGCCTGCGGAAGTGTCGCTGCAGCTGAGACAAAGTTCCTCCTTCTTGAAATCCCTGTCCTCCTCTGAGCTCCGCAGCTTTGCTCCATGGCGCAGCTTGCGCGCTGGTTTCCACCACCTGCAGCAGGGCTCCGA